TAACTAACATAGCAATAATATGAAAGATAATTTTAAAAGCCGCTGGAAAATTTAAGCTACTGAGATATTTGCATTTGTTTCTTGCTTGAAAGTAATTGAATACATTCAAATATAAATAACATTTCAAGCCGTACAAGGAAGCCCCACGTTCTCCACCTCTGGTCTAGTCCAGTGTTCCAATTTCGGTGGATTTGTCAGATCTTTTTATAAACGATACTTGAAATCGTCTTAAGACCTACGATACGAGGACAGGATACTGTAGTTTCGTACTGCCAACAGTTAAGAGCAGTTGACTCCAGTTTCAGTCGGTAACCGTAACAATTTTTGCGAGCGTCGCGATATAAGGGTGGGTTAAAAATACACGTACGGCCCTCGAGGTTTTATTTTGTTGTCTCTCGCACTCGAGATCCCGCGACCTCGCGTGGATCAAGTGCGCCGACTATAAAGAAAATATGGTTGAGAGATATGGTCGAGGTACAAGGCGTTGGCAGCGAGCCGAGCCTCGGTGTTTCGGCCCGGGCTTCATAATTTGCGAACGAGTCAGCGGATTCAGGCATTATTAGTCGCCCTTTATCATCCCGGGCAAAGAGAGAGCTCCCTTTTTACACTGAACATTATATTCACCGCGAAGTAATCGATCAACCGCGTCTTCCTTTTATGGAAAACGCTTAGCGCCCTTCCTCCCTTCATGAAATACTAAACTGAATCTTAATCTCGGCTGATAATAGGATCAGCTGTTTGCCATTAAGCGTTTCCCACCGCGAACACTTTTATCGTACATATAATAATTATATGAACCATCATTCGCTGTATAACTAGTAACAACGAAATTGAGCCAGCTACGTGCATGTGTTAGTCTCACCTAGGGGGACAAAATTCAAAATGAGTAATAAGTCAACATCTTATTTTTTCGATGCTCGATCTCGTATTGATATTGTTGGATTTTAACATAATTTTGACGCGTCAAAATAAAAATAATGTTAACATACGCACGTTACCATCACCTACATTAAAATTCTTTTTATTTTGACGCGTCAAAATTATAATAAAATCCATCAGTACCGATGCCAGATCAAGCATCGAAAAAATAGGATGTATACTTATTACTCGTTTTGAATTTTGTCCCCCTAGGGTAAACTAACACATGCACTTAGCTGGCTCAATTTCGTTGTTACTAGCTGTACTATTTTTCAATTATCGAACACGTCTAATGAATGGCGTATTATATGTGAAATCATAAATTTGTTACTCACATTTGGTGATGGACGAGGTGCCGGCGCTGCTGCCCTGTTTCTTGAATTTGTCACCCATGGTGACCTTCCTCCGGATATTCTTGTCCGGTTGGAAGACGATTATGTAGACTTTGGGGGAGTAGAGGCAGACGAGGGTGACCGTGGCGCTGAGACTGATCGCTACGCACAGTGTCGTGATCTGTGTCTCGTGGGCGTTTCCAGTGCCAAAGTATATTGGGACGAATGCCAGCCAGATGATGCACGTGGTATACATAGTGAACCCGATGAACTTGCTCTCGTTGAAGTTCTCCGGAATCTTGCGCGTCTTCACGGCGTACACCGTCGAGATGAGGATCAATAACGCGTTGTACAACTGCGAGAACAGGAAGCTCATGTCCTGGATGTTGCACTTAAGGATCACCTGTTTCCGGTCGGGGTAGAAGAACCTCGTGCCAGGAGGTTCGATTATCATCCAGACCAAAGTCAGCACCACCTGATTTAATTACGAATCTCAAGCTGGAAGATATTTCGACTGGCTTGCTTCATGGAACGAAGAGGACTTACGTCTCATCGTTCCATTTAAGCGTCGAAGAGGGATCCGTTCTGCGACTAGTACAATAGAACGTACGGTTGATCCTCTCACCTGTAACGCGATTAGCGCCGCCGCGATGCAAACTTGGGACGCGGGGCTGATGTATTTTGGCCTGACGGCGGATCTCGACGCGGAATCGAAGATTCTAGCGATTCGGTTGGTTTTGGTGAGGAGCGCGCCGTAAACGGCGCTGAAACTGACGCCCACGCCGAACCTCTGGAGGATACAAGTGACGGTGGTGGGCGTCGCCAGCAACAGGAACGTGTTCAGGTAACAGACGAGCACCCCGGCCAGCAGAATGATCGTCAGCTCGCGCCCCGACGCCCTTACCACGGGCGTGTCTCTGTGGTGGAACAGCAGACAGGCGACCGCGAGGGTGGCGACGATGCCAAGGCACGAAATCACCGCCGGGGCGATTGCGAACGCGCTGTCCCACCTAATGTGGTTGATGGGCAGTTGGTAGCAACCGCGCTTGTCCTCGTGCGGCCATTTACCCGGACCGCAGTCCACGCAGGTGTACTCGTCGTAGACGTATTCGTACTCTTCGCACTGGTCGCAGACCCAGCAACAAGTGTCACCCTGTTGCTTCTTTATCATACCTGGCTCGCAGGGCAGCGAGCAAGCCGAGATCGGTATGTCTTTGGTACCGCGAGACCAGACCAGCTCCTCCGTGTGGATATCCAACGAATTGAACCATTTACCCACCACCTAATCGCGTTACACAGTTTTCAAAAAACTGATTACCCTTTATTTATTTCATGGTGTAACCAGGATGAGAGAGGAGAATGAAGTTAAAATGAAAATCATTTGATGATGCAGTTTTAACGTTAAAATATAAAATGTATTAGTAGTAGCATCACTGGCTTATACTTCTCAATTATAAGTTCGTCTTGAACAAGCGAAGCGTTTCATTATCTCCTGACTTGTTATTATTATTATGTTCCAGATGAGAGAGAACGCAGGGATGGCTTTACGGGAGCTCTACTACCGTGTCAAGTAAGTTTAGCTCGTTTACCCGATCGTGTAACGTTTTAACATTATCTCAGATATGTACGAACTCTCAAAGCAAATATTTGGTTTTAGAAAGTGGTAACGTTTACTTTGAGAGTGTTCAAATCCTTCTTTTCTACTCGTGACCGAGTACACAAGCGAGTACGGTTCATTGAAGCGAGCACTCGATGTTAAGAACGTTTTTAAAATTGAACAGTTTCTATTGCAAAACGCGTTTCAACTCAGGCTCAGCTTTAATGATGAACAGACTGGGAATTCGACGCATTTATAGAAATATTGTAACTGATAAAATATTGGAAACTGATCGTACATTGCAGTTCTTAAATTATAAAAGTATAATTTTGAAACTGATATCGTACGACGGTATCGCATAAAAATACGCAGTCTAATGATGAGATACATGCATGCAGCTATGTATGTACGTGTGAAACTGAAATACGAGCGTGGCAAGTTTCGAAAGGGTAAAAAAGAATTTCGTTCGTTATCTGAAAATATACGATACGCGGTTACTTTTTTTTTTTACGAATGGCCAACCCGGTGGCGCAATAAAGCTTGCGCTTTTTGACGATTTTACGTTACCTGGTAGGGAGAGACCGGAGGGTTGTATTTCATCCGGTAAGTTGCATTCGGCGAAGGTCACGTTGCAATTTATGTCTCGGCCGCTACTTTATCGTACGGAACGCGACCGATGCTCGCCGGGGGCTCGCGTTGATTTACGATTTTTATCGGGAAACGATCGTTAATTGGATACAAGAGAACTGGGATTCGGTACGAAAGTAATTTAACGCAGCTGTCCTCTTTTAGGGCAACAGTCGTCGGAGTTTCGAAAATTATCACCGCGCATTTCCATGCAAAATGAAACATTCATGATAGTCAATTAACAGAATGGATTCCCTTTTGGTCATCTATTGTGAAATGAATTTTGTACAAAAGATTGAAGCGCGCTTGCTGTATCCGAAGTTGACCGTAAAATCTCGAGTGTACTACTATGAATATGAAACCGAGTATACACGAAAACATGAAATTGGGTAAATAAGCATAATTTCGGTGAGTCCGGGAACAGCAACAATTAATAGCATCTATTCGTGCGACGCTAGCAGGAACTTTCCCCCGGGATAATTATCTCTGCCGGTCGTTGAGTATTTGCCGAATCCAATAATAGGAACTTTGATTTGGATATTATATCGTGGCTCTAAAAGCGCCGAAAGCTGTTCACGGTAGTTCGCGGAAAGTTCTCGCCCTCTTGCCTACTCGAGAGAGTGCCAAAAGGGGCTTTTCGAGGGGGCAGGCCTCGAAACTTCTAATTAATCGTCCGGGGAAAAAGTCAAAAGTACTTTCACTTGCCCGATAGTGATATCCATTAGTCCCGTTGTGGTCCGATTTACGGAAATTGAGGATCTCGTAGCGAGCCAGTCCGTCCCCGTGCTCGTCGAACTTCACCTCGCTGCCGGCGCTGTCTGAAAAATCAAATTACCCTGCCTTTTGTCCCTGGAGGATCTCGAAATTTAATTAGACCGGCGACTTTTACGCAAAATCGTTTGTAATATTAATTTAACGAATGAAATCGGAATTGAGATTCCTCTTATCCAGAATTAATCGTATCCACTTTGATACTGTATTACATTTGTTCTCTGAATTTTCTGTACATCGAATTTTTATACGAGTGCATAAAATTCGCTGTATATTGATTTTTTGTGCGAAGCGATTTTTGTATCTTAACGGTTTCGGGTCTGCCTAGCAACGTCGTGTAAAAAAACTGAAACTGAAAATATACCAAGACTATTGACATAAAGAGAGGAATAGTTTAACGGTTTTCTGCTTTTGCCAGAAATTCTGTTGCGCGCAGTCTCGCGAGTAAAGCTTTTCGTTAAATATACACTCTGAATTTGCGTATGCCGTTTCGTTTACTTATTGCGCTTTCAGGTTTTAATATTATCCGCGGCTCTCCGGCAATACGGTTTTTAATTATCGCTACGCGTAGCTGACGCGCGATTGTACAGTGGAAACTGAAAATGATATTCCACCATTCCAGTATTTGAAATAATCCAGCTCGATAGCTCTCGCTTTACCGAGGACTGTTTTTCCTCGACACCGTGAAAGAGTTTTCATTCTGCGCGGATTAAAGAAATTGGTTGAAAGGAATAATATTATTTGTTCGTCTCCCGTACGCGTCATTACGGAAGAGGTCTGAGTAAAAAATTACATTAATTCTTGTAATATGGGAATATAAATTGATAAAACGACGGGAGTAGAACTGTGAACCAGTTTTATAATAATCAGCAAATTGAATCCAATTTTACTCGGGTCAATAAGGACGGGGACGCGTGAGCGTTCGTAGGGAAAGAAATATCGCCAATTTGCTGGGGTGAAATTAAAGAAAGTGCTACTGCTAGGGTGACGCGGTCAATAATTTCCGCGATTTTATTGCGTCGTACGTACCGGTTAGCAGGTGGCAACTATCCGCGGGAACGCCTAATGCTTTCCTTCGTTAACGCAAACGGGGGACGGGGGAGGTGGGGTGAGGGTGGAATTGTAATATCGCGGAGTATCAGATCAGGTCAAACCGTGTGACGTACGTCGCGCGCGTTTCTTCGGCTCGTAATTCGACGTGTAAACCTCGACAATGCTATCGCGATACTTTTCTCTTGATCGATGTTTGCGCCGGACGATTAACGGCACGCAATTAAAGACTCCCTTTCCTAAACGCGTCGCTCTCGTTCCGTGCTGCGAATAACTACGCGTGCTTGGCTGAGATTCAACCTGCGTCGAATATAAATTTTACACAGCCGTCGGACGAATAATTAACACTAGATTGTCGGTGCGAGTCAATTTGACTCATTATTCAAGACTCGAAGTTCAAGTATCATGCAAAAGACAGACGTAAGAGCGCCCGTGTTAAATGTAATAGAAAAATCTGCGGGAAATGTATTTTAAAAACAGACTATAAATGTAAAATTTCTTTTGAACGAAGTTTCTTTAAAGCGAAATTTTATTTCTTTTTAAAACTTCAATTTTGATGTTTGAGTTAGATTGATTAATTTCAGGGAAAATAGGCAGGTAGCCAACATCCGGCAATCTAGTCTTAATAGAGTCTGTAATTAAATTCCGTGTAAGACACGGAGGGTGGCTGTATACATAATTAAATAAAAAGACGCTAGCTTTTGGTCGAGTTTCTTGTGCGGAAGGCAAACAAATGAAGACGTATCGAGTCGTGAAAATGGACTGTCTTCCGGAAACGAATGAAACCGTGGTAAAAAAGCCGTGATAAAAACAGGCGAAAGAAAAATCGAATTTGTTCCGATCCATTTTGCGGGCACACGGGTAATCTCCGATTGATCCGGGGACGCTCGCGCGGGAGAGAGATCGATTTAAAGCGTGTGCGAAGTCACCGAAACCGGGCCATTATTTCCTGGTCATTTCGTAGAAATCAGCCGGCGTGCGACGTGCACACGTCCACGGGACCGGATCGATAACAGGCTCACTCGCGACTGATACGATTCGATTCTAGATATCCTCGCAGCGCCGTGCACCGGCTCCTGCGAACGATTATCGCTGTTCGATCCAGTAAGAAAAAGATTTAATTCATTTTACGGACGATGATCGTTATCCGATCGCGTTGAAGAAAACAGGAAAAACGGACGGTCGTTAAAACGAGTGTATGCAATATCAATTGCTATTCGACCGAACAAAAAAAGTGGAATGAAAAGGAAGAGCTTGGCCGAGCGGGAACACAGTGTACTTTTTCGTTCTGGGGATCGTTATTATGAACAGCAGCGCGGAAAGCGACGGTGGGCGTCGAGACGCGATAATTCCGGCATTATATCATTCCTCGGGTCCGATGCGTCTTTAACATAAACCTCCACCACGCGTTGGCC